CAGGGAGGCACAGTGACTCCTCCGCCGCTGCAGCCAAGCGTCAATCCTTAAACCAGAGATGGACCAACACATTGAGGTTCGAGGGAACATTGACATGGACCAGCTCATCCAACAGATCTTCCGAAAGCATCCATGAGGGCAGCTTCATTCCAAGCTGAATTTTGGCTAAGCAGCCAAAACTCACTAATGTATTCCAATAAAGGGTGTTGGCCCTGCTTCAGGGCTTTCAGGCATCGAGTAGCAGTCTGTGTCTTGATGAGCCGAAGGTGGTCACAAAACTCCCAGAAGTCATCCAACAATGGATTAGGCTGGACAAGCAGGAATGTCTTTATCCTGGTCAGTGGGGAAGTCCTCTGCTCTTGGGCTGATGAAGAGCTGGCATTGTCCCAAAAATGCTGGAAACATGACTTGATTGCCATCAAATTTATCTGGTGCTACCACTGGGCATTTCCAATAGGGTTGTGGAGCAGATGAGCTTGAAGCTGAGCAACTTGCACTGACAACAATGCCACCTGTTGGGAGAGCTGGGCATTCTCTGCACATAGCTGCTCCATGTTAGTAGGAAAAAGGTAGCAGACAAACTGTTCTGACCCAGCCCTTGTGAGTAATGATTAATGGTTTACTCATGAGTAGAAACCCTTTTTATTTACAAGGCAGGAACCAGCTAGGTTCACGGAAGAACTCCTGTTAACAAGTCTTTCAAGGCTTAATCAAGCCGTAGCAGTCTCAGCTCACACTGGCTGAAGCATTTTCAATGTCTATGAATGTCCCACTAATGTCAATTAGCACTTCAAACATAAACAAATAGCCCAGGCAAACCTGGGTCTTGGCAAGGAATCGTGACAAAGAAGTCCAATTGATTGAATTCTCCAGTAACATGAAGAATTGACTGCCACAGCCAACCACTCCCAAACCACTCCTATTTATGTTCCAGCCAGGGAGGGGCTGGCTAATGTCTCCTTATTTTTCCTGAGAGCTGGCCCATAAACCTCTGTTGCTCTGGTCTCCTCTTGGTGCATACGTGTGTCTGGGACGGGCCCCATCTGCTCCTCTTCCCCATTCAGCTCAGGCTCCAGCTCTGCATCTGGTTCTGAGTCTTCTTGCTCATCGGAGCCTTCCAAAAGCTCCGATGACGACCCAGGCACCCCCTCCTCATTCTCATCCAACTCGGGTGCCAGTTCTGCTGGCAGACAATGAACTACAACAGCAGTGCAGATATTGTTCCAGGATTCCAATCGCTTTCTCAGTTCCGCCATCTGTTTCAGGATGATGTGCTGATGACAGACATATTTGCCTTCAGTAGCACTTTCCAGAACCTGGCTGTAAATTGAGCCCTCCTATCCGAAATGACCCTATCAGGTAGGCCATGGAGATGGAAGATATGCTGAATGAACATGCGAGTTGTGGCACGGACTGTCGGCAATCCCCGACAAGGGATAAAATGTGCCATCTTTGTCAGCATGTCCATTACAACAAACACTGTCATGAACCCAGAAGATGGGGGCAAGTCCATCAAGAAGTCCTTGGACACTGCTCCCCAGGGTCTATTGGGCATCGGCAAAAGCTAGACCAGACACAGTGGGGCTCCCATCACTGACTTGGCCTGCCGGCACTGTACACAAGATGTGATGTAGACCTGGATGTCGTGTTCCAATAGGGGCCACCAGAAAGTACAGGAGACCAGATTCAGAGTCTTGGAAGAGGCCAAAATGCCCCGTGGTAGGATTATTGTGGCATTGCGAGAGGATGAGTCCCGAGAGACCCCACAAAATCAATTAGCAGTATAGAGTCCTCCAAAAATTTAAATCCTTAACTTTCAAAGGTAGTTTCCACAGTGATTTCCAGCTTCTTTAGTTTGGCTTGGAAAAACCAACTCCTCCCCCCCTCGCCATCTTAAAGTCATGGAGCTTCAGAAATGACGATAGTTCCACAAAAAGCAAACGACAAGCTGCAACTAGAGGAAGCCTCTCTTGGCAAGATAAATATAATTATATAGAAAAATTAGTGACTAAGAACCTGTGGCATCCTTTATTTTCCATTTAAATGGCTGGTTCTTCCACAGTGAACTTGCATGGTTGCCCTGCCCCAGCCGGGGACTCACCCAATTACTTCTTCTTCAAGAAGCAATCTGAGAGTGTCTGGCTACTCAGAGGAATAAGATGGTTGATTTCCAAAGCGTCCCCTTTCCCAGGGAAGTTTCTTCTGGCTTAGAAACTGTTCTAAGTCTAAAACTGTAGAGAATCTTTAGGAGATCTAAAGAAGTTTCCTACCGGTCAGGAGCCTCTTCCGGCGGAAGTGCAGTCTTGCAAAATTCTGTTATTATAATTTTACAATAAAAGTAGTATTGTCCTATATAAGTGGTGGCGAACCTATGGCACGGGTGCCAGAGGTGGCACTCAGAGCCCTCTCTGTGGGCACACGCGCCGTTGCCCCAGTCTTAGGCCTTCAGCTGAGTTTTACAAAACCGCTGCTGCCATGTACAAAAAAAAAAAAGGTTCAATCAATCAGTGAATTTCAACTTCTCGCGGGAAAAAAAGATCTTGCAAAGTTGGAATTGATTGATTGAACTTTTTAGTCCCACCCAGTCTGCTGTTGCCACCACAGCCACGCCCACCCAATGGGCCACACCCACCCAATGGGCCACACCCACCTGGCACCCAACGATGCATAAGTGTATTTTGGGTTGCAGTTTGGGCACTCGGTCTCTAAAAGGTTCGCCATCACTGTCCTATATGGTTTTGGTTTCCTAGTAAGATCTACCTGGAAGGCTGACAATGCTGAGGACAAATTGAGAACATTTCCTAGGTTATTGCAGTGATACATTTACTACCTACGTCTGTCAACCAACTGGAGAACAAATATCCTGGACAATTTGGGGAGCTTCCCAATTACTTTTTGTGTCTGTTTTTTTTAAAATTCTAATTTAAAATGCTTTTAATGTGCTATCGGCTACAGAAATAGTAGCCGATTTTCTGTATTACATGTGTTTTGGTTTTAATATGATCTTTCATTTGTTTTTCTGTGGTCATAGTATACACATGCGTTAATATATTATCCAAGAATTGACTTTACAAATGGAGGGTGGATAGGTGTGTGTATGTATTTATGTGTGTATCTTGTGTTTTAAGATGGTATTTGGTTATAGTTAAAGGGTCTGTTCTGTGAATTTGGTTTGGAAATGGTGCTGTTGGTAAGAGAAGGTGGTTTAGATACAAATGTGTGCTTGGAGTGGACCTGGATCTGGTCTCTTTGAACTAAATGGTAGGCTGTACAATATTGGCTTGGATGGAGCCAGATTTATATACCAGGAATTTGGCTGGCTGTAGAAAGTGAAGCTTAGGAGAGAACTGGAAGAATTTAGTTGTTATTGGCATAGCAACAGTGAAAACATCTGATTACTAAATTATCTCATCTGGTAGGTGAGCGAATAAGGCAATTGACTCATCTCTGCTGTTTGGTGGAGTTGCAGAAACAAAAGTAAGACGGTTACCATTATTGGCATAATGACAAATGTAAAAGCTAGGATACCTGACGAAGCTTGAAGCTTTACTGCTTCAAGAACTGGAGCTCACAGTAATGGTGGAACTGAGAGGAGCTGCAGATTTTACCACCATCTGCACTATGACCCAGGGGAGACATTGGAACCAGCAATGTTGCTAGACACTCAGAAGCTTCATTTAGTCCAAAAGGCAGCAGTCCAGTTACTCTTGTCACCATGAGCCTATTACATGTATGCTCTGGGCTCTGCAGAAGCTTCCTATGAGCTTCTGGCTACAATTCAAAATACTGGTTGCTAGCTATAAAGTCTTTTGTTTCTTGGCAGCAAGCCACTTTGAAAAGCACCTCCTCCTAAAGATATGACCCACCTGGAAGAACCTGCTGATCCTGATTGATAACACAACGCCTAGGATTATTTGACTTATTTTATGCTCATAGTTTAATGGTTTATAATGTTTATTTGAGTCTTGCTGTGGATGTTTTAATTCTGAGTGCCTTGTGTTTATTTGCTCTTAGTTATTGTAAACTGCCAAGCCTCTGATCAGTTGCAGTGGGCATAAATGAGACAAATAAAATGTAAAATGCATGGATGGATAAAATAGATAATGGTTTAAGTATTTTCATTTACAAAGCTTAAAATAATTTTTGGTTCAACTAATTTTTAAATTAAGTTGGTCAGGTAAACAAGGAAAGCTCAGCATTTTTTTATTAACCAGAGTAATTTAATACCTCCATCATATCCTTGATGCAAATACTCTATTGTCTATTCCTGTGGTGGCGAATCTATGGCACGTGTGCCACAGGCGGCACACAGAGCCCTCTCTGTGGGCACGCGTGCCGTCGTCACAGTCCTAAGCCTTCAGTCGTGTCCATGAGCAACCTTCATCAAAATCTCCCCATGCAAGTGGCTTTTTAAGCTGGGTTTTATAAAACCTTTTTGCTTTAGGCCTCCGCCACCATGTGCAAAAAAAAAAAAAAAAGTTCAATCAATCAATTTCAACTTCTCGTGGGGAAAAAGAGATCTCACAAAGTTGGAATTGATTGATTGAACTTTATTTTTAGTCCCACACAGCGGTGGAGGAAGTCACGCGTTGGAGCTGGAAAGAAGGTGCCGCATTTTGGACAAAGAGGACCACTGGTTTGAAAAAGAGATCAAAGAGGCTATCTATGTCAAAATTGAACAGCCCTCTCTCAACAGAGGAGAAGGGATACAATACAGTCCTTTCGGCAGTCTACAACACAGTCCTCTCAGCAGTTCCAAGAAGGCTCCACACCCATTTGCACTTCTGAGGTGACCCTGATGACACAGATAAGCCTCCAGGTGGCCTCAATGACTCTATAAAAGAATTCAAATGACCAGCTGTCTGCAAGGGGTGTAAATCCTTCCATTCCCCACCATCGGGTCAGAGCTGAAGAAGCTTCTTGGATGAGAAGCAAAAGGTCTTCAAAGAGAAAAAAGAAAGTCCAGTTGCCTCGTGAAAAAGTACCTTTGGGACTAGACTCTAGGAAATCTTAATAAAAACAGGCACATTCATAAGAGGCACTGAATAATTCCTGAGGAAGCTTCCTCCATGAAACACCTGAGCAGTGTTGGTATCCATCCATTTCTGACCTTCTCTAGGTAGGTAGATGTCCCTCTGGAATTGTCCTTGTTCTGTTACTGGAGCAACAATAACCTGCATTTAACAAAGATAATCTCATTAATAGTATCTGAGACATAAAATGTGTATAAATACAGTTGGTCTTAACACAGAAGATAGGAACCTCACTTGAAACATGTCCACAATTATTTGATCAGACCAGCTGTAGGCACATCACAATGTTGCCCAGAAACACTTTAAAACAGTAAGAGACATTTATATCCTGCACCTGTAATTCCAATTTTTTATATATAATAAAAATGTAAGGCTTATAATTGTAATTTAGTTGTTTTTATTATGTGATGATATATTTTGACTATATAATATGGGAATTTCTCTTTTATATAAAGTAGCTGTTTCAAAGAAAGAAATCCAGAGGGAGATGAAAAACCTGCTCTGCTTATTTTTAATATGTAACAACCAGATGATTTAAAGAATTAGAGCAAAAATATTTATTTAAAGGTTTCCTGTGAGGCACTGATTTTTAAATCAACACTGCAAATTTAAGTAGGTATCATTATACACCACAGCACTTCAGAAGCTTATCAAATACAAAATGATAAAGTAGATACAGGATCTAGGCTGCAAAAATTCAATAGATATTGTAATGCTATGATAAAGATTTTCTTAATAGGAATAAAGATAACACTGGAGATCCTGCCATGTAGCAGTATTATAGCAAAAGATATTAAAGATCAATGTCTTGTTGCCTTGACACAGCAGCAATTAATTTTTTAGATGAGTCGTAATCAGCAAATCAAAATGCTTCAACATTTAATTAGATATTGGCTGTATTTGAACTTTAACTAAAAAAGTAATTAAAGCATTAATTATTCTCTCATCTCTTTCCAGATGCCTGTTAATGCTAATTAATAATATCACATAGCACACAATTATCTTAATCATGTAGGCAAACAATATTTGAAATAGTTGGGATTATTGTGGACCAGACTATCTCATAGAAATATATATTGTAAACAAGAGAGCTGTGCAATGCTTTGGCTTTGATTCAGAAAGGCACTTTAAGTAATGTGTACATAACATTGGCTTGCAATTTCTTAAAGCTGTTTTGATTTTCCCGGTGTCATGAGGAAATTGCAGACGGCAGCCATGCAAATCAGTGAAATGACATGGCTGCTTTAAAGACCAGCAGACAAAGTGCTATGCTCACACTCCAAGACAATTTTTGGAATCAAATCTGAATAGCCTTCAACACTATTTAGATCAAAATGGGGCAACCACATCATTCACTTCTCCTGTGCTGATCCCTAACCTGCCATATAGGGATGCTATTAAAGGGTTATATCCTTCTTTACTGTGTGCAAGGCAAATTAAGGAATGGGATGGGTGGAGTCTATCATCTTAGTTTTGCTCACTTTCTATCAAATGTCACTAGTTCATGAGAAAGCATCCACCAATCACCCTCTTAATTGGGAGGGAAATGGGATACGAAGAAACAGTTTTGATAGACTGACAGATCTGATCATCTCTCCAAAGTCTCTCCAGGCTTTGCACAAGGCATTTTTTGTGATTGGGAGAAGAGGTAGGCAAAAGGAAGGACTTGACTATTTACCAATCGGCTCTCCAATCCTATGGCATTTATCCATGGGATCAGATACATGGTACATAAAAAGCCTGTTTTTTACTCACAGTTCCTTGGAACTCTGTGCAGTGAAACAACAAAGTGTCATGGTTCCGACAGATGAAACTCTTCAAAAGAACTTCGAGGTATTGTTTACCTTAAAGAATCTTTATTTTGAGTACCATAACATTGGCAGTGCATAATCAAAGCCAAAAACTGAATTCCCCTCCCCTGAGCACATAATATCAAAGCACAATTCCCTCCTCCAATTAACAATCATAAATCACATTCCCCAATTAGTTTGAAGCACAGGCTTCCTTTTCAGTTCTTCAGCCCTCCAAGTCCTTATCAGCTCTGGTTACAATAACCTTGTTTCTCACGCTAGGCTTGGTGTTATTATGTCTAGCTGGACTCTCCTTCACATCCCCCCTCCCAGCATCATCTAACTCTAAAAGCAAAAGGTAAAAGATGGCTACATTTCCATCTGTTGTCAATGCAAAAACATCCGATGTTAGTAGTATTGACACAAAGATCCCGCTTCAGTGGGTTCAGCCTTCCACTGCTTGGTAGGCTTTTTAAAGCTACTTCTAAACATAAAAGTAGTGTTCTTTTGGAATAGTGCTAAAGCCATATACAGGCAGCTCTGGGACATGAGTTTAGCTCTCTTTCAGAAGAATGCTAAACCTATGTTTAAAATTAGTCCAATTATCAAGTGGAGCGAAAAGATGCCCAGTGACACTTCATTATGAAACAGTCTATCATAAACTAAGAGGTGGGTGATCATTTTTCCTGCAGTTTTGTAGCAGAAGGCAGATCAGAAAAAGAAGAGAGGAATAAGAACAACAAAATCTTGATCTAGAATACTGCTAAATGGAAAGTCCCTGTATTATAGATAACTTAGACTGGAAGCTGGAAAGGTGTTTTGGATCCTGTACCTGTATCTTTCTACAGTTAAAGGACTCCATCTAGAGCAGGGGTCTTCAAATTCGGCCCTTTTATGACTTGTGGACTTCAACTTCCAGAATTCCTCAGCTAGCGTGCCTGGCTGAGGAATTCTGGGAGTTGAAGTCCACAAGTCATAAAAGGGCCAAGTTTGAAGACCCCTGACCTAGAGTGAGGGAATATGACCATGTACAGGTGAAACTCGAAAAATTAGAATATCGTG